AGACCACTGTTAAGGATACTGATGATCCAGCCCAGCAGAGCTGGGCCGGCCTCCCTGGCCAGCTCCCATCTTCTCCCGGAGAGCACAGGAAGGAGACTGTGTTGGGGGCAAGAGGTGCAGAGGGGAGCCAGACCAGCTCCTCCTGGGGCTGGATTCCCAGGGGTGGAGGAGACAGAAAGTCTGGCGGGCAGACTGCGGGCCTCTGGCCGCCCCTCGGGCCCAGCTCTCCTGTGAGCCAGGGCGCTTGACGGCTGCTCAGCTCTGCAGCTCCTCCTCCGCCGGCAGCTCCCTTGGTCTGCAGGAGCTGGGCCTTCACATCTGTGGCCCCAGAGGCCCCGCGGGGCAGGCCTGGCTCCCGCTCCGGGTGGGAACGGAGCCCAAGCCGGGCGTGGCGCTGACATCTGCAGTCCGCTCTCCAGCTTCCCTGCTCTCAGGCTCGGATCAGCAAAGCTGTGGGGAGCGCAGTTCCCCTACGTGAGGGATCGGATGACTCAGCTGACATCCTGCACCTGAATCACTTCCGGATCCTTCTTCCAGGAACCTGCAGGGTTCCCTGGAACTCAATTCACATGCAGCAGGTCTCATGGATGTGTGCCTGACCTCCTTCGGTCCTCACAGCAGCCCCCAGAGGTTGGCCCCAGGGAGGTGGAGTGTCTTGCCTCAGGTCACCTTGCCAGCCAGCAGCTGGGCTCGAACTCACACACAGGTCCTGTGACTCCCTCTGACCAGGGCTGAAGGGGCAGCCTCAGACCGTGGTCAGATGGTGGAGGGGCAGCCCAGTCTCTAGTGCCCTGACGTGCCAGTCCTCCTGCCGCTGGCCCCAGCTCGCCACCCCTCCACTTCCGCCAGCCCTGTTTGCTCTCCTGGTTACCTGCACTAAAAAGGTTTGGAAAGGTCCTAGGTTTGTGACTCAACCAGGCTGTGTGAATAATCCTCACGGGGAGGCACGGACTCCAACCCCCTTTCCTGCACTTTGAGTGCTGCAAACCCTGCTGGAAGGCAGCGAATGAGGAGGCAGAGCACCGAGCTGGCAGCGGGAGGGGCTGGCGCCGGAGCAGAACTGGTAAAGCCAGTGCCTGTGACGCTGGCATCTCATTTGGGTGTCGGTTCAAGTCCTGGCTGCTCCACTTCCCAGCCAGCTCCCTGCTAATGTGCCTGGAAAAGCATCAGAAGGTGGCCCAAGTGCATGGGCCCCTGTCGCCCAGATGGGAGGCCAGCATGGAATTCTGGGCTCCTGGATTCTGCCTGGCCCAGCCCTGGCCATTGCAGCCATTCGGGAGTGAACCAGCAGATGGAAGGTCTCTCTGTGTCTCTACCTCTCTCACTCTCTCTCTCTGTGTACTTGTGCCTGAAATAAAAATAAATCTCTTAAAAAAAAAAAAACACCTCAGTTTCCTGGCTTCCCCCTTAGGCTGCAGGGAGCTGACCCTCTGACCTCAGGCCTAAGCACACCCCCAACACACATATTTTTTCTTTATTTTTAGATTTATTTATTTGAGAGGCAGAGAGAGAGAGAGAGAGATTTTTATAGCCACTGGTTCACTCACCAAATGGTCATAATGGCCAGGATTGGGCCAGGTCGAAGCCGAGGAGCCTGGAACTCTATTTGGATCTCCCACGTGGGTTCAGGGGCCCAGGCACTTGGGCCGTCTTCTGCGGCTTTCCCAGGCGCATTAGCAGGGAGCTGAATGGGAAGTGGAGCAGCTGAGACTTGAACTTGCTTATATGGGCTGCGGACTACACAGGCAGCAGTTTAACCCACTGTGCCACAAAGCCAGACTCAATGTACTGATGATTCTGTATTTGTATCTCTCAGCTCTCACCTACTTAGACAGCAACTTAATGGTCTAACAAACCCCTAAAACTCAACAAGTCAAGGACTACACAGACAGAAAGGGAGAGAGAGAGAACTCTCCATCCACTGATTCACTCTCCAAATGACTGCAATGGCGGGGGTAAGGGTAGGAGCCAGGATGGAGTTGGGAGCCTTGAACTCCATCCAGGTCTCCCACATGGGTATGGGGACCAAGCACTTGGGCCGTCTTCTGCTGCTTTCCCTGGCACACTAGCAGGGAGCTGGAAGGGAAGTGGAGCAGCCGGGACTCACTACTGCTCACACAGCGTGCCAGCATCGCAGACAGCAGCTTAACTCACTGTGCCACCGCACAGGCCCCTCAGCACTTCTTGAAGGCCCCTGTCCCGGCCCAGGCCCTGTGTTGGGCACTGAGGGAGAACACCAGGCCTAAGACACACGCTCCGCCCTTGAGGAGTTCAAAACACAGCAGCAAAAGCCAAGGAGGCACCGTCCGGGCACAGCCAGGAGAGCGGCGATGGGGGTGGGCGGGGTCTTAGAAGGGTCTCTGGTGGCACCAGTTCTCCTGGCGGTGTCTGCCTCTCTGCAGAGACCAGAGCTTTTTGGTAACCCTGTGCTTGCCAAGCCCAAATACCATGGCACCAGCACCTGTTTGTTAGTGTGTTTCACTTAAAATATTTCAAAGAAAACTTTATATCACTGCCTTCAGATAGGTAACTGAAAAACCAGTGAAAGTGTATTTGATTTATGAGAGAGAGAGAGAGAGAGAGAGAGGGAGGGAGAGAGAGAGAGATTGTTCTCAACTACTATTTCACTCCTGAAATACCATCAATGGCCCCGGCTGAGCCAGGGCCAGGGCCAGGGCCAGAGCTGGAGTCAGAGTGGGGAACTCCATCCAGGTCTCCCACGGGGGTGGCATGAATCCAACCACTTGAGCCATCACCACTGCCTCCCAGCGTCTGCACGGGCAGGAGGCCAGAGCCAGGAGCTGGAGCTGGGAATTCAGCGGAGGTGGGACGTAGTCCCGGGTAGAGGGCAGGTGAACGCTGGCTCCCACGAAGCCAGTCTCTCAGACTGGGAAAAAGACTCGGAGAGCAAGACTTGCCCCAGGCCACAGGACTAGGAGGGCACAGACTGACTCCCTCCTGGGCCTGCCTCCCTCCGCAGACTCAGCCAGTCCTTGCCCAGTCCTCTCCCGCCGGCTACTCGCAGGAGCTACTGTCCCTCTCTGAGCCTCCCTTTTCCCATCTAAAAGGGCAGGCAGCTCTTCCCTTGTGGGTGGCTGGGAGATTTCCGTCTATTGGGTGCCTAGAGCAGGGAGCCTGCTCCACGGGCAGGGGCTACCACCTGCCGGCGTCCCGCAGGCCGCCCCAGAGGAGCAGGCGAAGGAGGAGGGGTGGCCTGCTGCCCCCTCCGGACACTCAGGAGTAGAGCCCTCCAGCTGTGGTCCAGAGGCGGCACAGCCCGAGCCTGGGGCCGGCTCGTTCCACATCACAGCCGAGGAGTTACAAAGAGCTTCCTCTGCTCATGTATCACTCGCACAGCCCAGAGAAAGGGGCGATTGTTCCCGGAGAGGGACGTCTCCCCGGGCCCTCGCGCCGCGGCTGCTGAGAGCTGCAGTGGGGATGGGCAGGGGGCTGAGAAGGAGAAGGGGTGGGGGTGGGGGTGGCGGCGCGGTGGCAGGAAAGACGGAGGTAGTGGGCCCTGGGCAGGTGGGACGGGACCAGCAGAATCTCCACGTCCCGTACCCCCCCACCCCTGCAGAGCACAGCAGACAGGCAGGGAACCAAAGCTCAGCAAGGGCCGTGACTGGTGAGGGCAGGCAGGGCGGTGGCTCCAGGCACAGCTCGAGAGCCCGATTCCTCGACAGCAGCTCCAGCTGGGGCGCCAGTGCCCACCCCACCCCCCCCCCAGCAGCTGGAGCACAGCAGGTGCCCAGCCTCTGTGTTTCATGAGAGCTTTGCACACCACCGAGACTGAAACAGATGCTGCTGTCTTGGAGCAGCCAGCCCCAGGCCACCCTGGAGCCCTCCAGGTCTCAATAAAGCCCCGGCTGTCGGAGTTGGGGGGCCTGGAAGAGTCTGGAAGGAGACTCGTGTTGCAGGGGGGCGGCCTGTCTGGATGTGAGGCACTGGCAGGGGCCCCCAGAGCAGGGGGCCGAGCAGGCGCAAGGTCCCCCGTTGTCAATGCTCTTAGCACAGCTGAGACCAGCTGGCATTTTCACAAAGGGCTTTACTAAATACTAAGGGAGAACAAAAGGGAAATAATTACAGAAAACACGAAAAACCCAGCCCCGGCTGCCAAGTTCCCAAAGTACAGGTTTCCATTCCTTCGGTGACGACACGTCGCCCCGGGGGCCTGGGCCGAGGCTGGGGGCCCCTCGCTGGCTCCTCTTGTTCCCAAGCCCTGGGGGTGGCTGCCATCTTGGTTCCCACCCTGGAATCCACTGGGTCACCCATGGGCTCTTCTCTTGGCCCCCTTCCAGCTCAGCCCTTCCCTAGGCCTCCCACAGCCTTCCGGTCTCTGGCCAAGGCTTGAGCCTTGTCCCCTGGGGGCTGGTGGGGCTGTGGTGACCAGCCCAGCCCATGATTACAGTGATGGGAGGTGGTGCTCCTGTGTGTACCCACCCCCAGCCCCAGAGGGGCCCACCCAAGTTGCAAGGTCTTGAGTATGGGGTCGGGGTGGGGGTGGGGGGTCCCTCTGGAGAGCTGAGGAGCATTTGAATAAAGAGCTAGCAGGCTTGGGACATTCGTCCTGAGGGGGAGGAGCAGACTCTGAGAATTGGCTCCGCTCAGCACACACGGAGACCAGGCACTGAGCAAGGTGTTGGGGACACCAGGGGGGGATGAGAGGCACAGGATTTGCCCGTCGTCTTTGAGGCAAGACAGATAAGCAAGTGGGCAATGATGCAACCCGGGGCAGTTGCCATGCGGGGGGAGAACAAGGCAGGAGATTTTAGCCCAAAAGGAAGGAGAAGGCAGAGGAGACCAACCCAGCACCCCCTTGCTGGTGGCTTTGAGTAGCTGCTGGCTATGGCCCACGCCCAGCCAAGACCATGACGGGGCCCTCCACAGCTGTGCCTGCCAGCCACGGCGATGTGAGTCCCAGGACACGCCCCTTCCTGGAGCCCTTTGCCCCCATGCAGGTCCAGGGCTCCCGGACAGCGCGGGAAGCAGAGGATGCTTACCTGGGACCCTGTGCTGGAGGCAGACGCCGCGCTGTCATTAGAGAGAAGGACACAGCTGGCGAGGAGTTCAGAGTCAAGATCACGAAGAGGCTGGGTCGAAGTGGGAAAACGAGTCAGGAAGCTGAAAGCCAAGGAGCCGGGATGGGTTAGGGCAGAGGCTGCAGGCTGAGACTGTGACTAACACAGGTGTGGGCAGCCTGGCGCGCAGCCTGGAGGCCCCTTCAGGGCCCACTGCACCGTCCTAGCCCGAATGGTGCTGCTGCAGCCCAGCCTCACCTGGGATCCGCGTTCGCCGGCTTCCAGGGGAGCATGGGCTGCTGTGTCTGCTCCAGGGCCTCTCGCCCGCACCCCATCTACTGCTCTGGCAAAGGGGAGGCCAGAGCTGCCCCAGACACAGCTCTACCTCCAAGGAACTTGCCGTCTGCTCCGGAGGTGGAGCCCCTGCTCCCTGGAAGAGCTTTAGAGAAAGAGCTGGACTCGATCCCCAGCATGGTTCCATTCCTTAGCCAAGCGGCTGCTAGCAAATGACTTCAACTCCCTGGGCCTCCATTTTTCCACCTTTAAAATGGGAATAAATAAAACCTACCTCAGAGGGCGGTGGTCAGAACTCAGTGAGCTGGGGGGTTTGAAGCACGAGGTGTGCTGCTTGGCGTACAACAGGTGCTCTGTAATAAATGTTCGTACTTTCTCTGAAACAGCCAGGTGTGGGATCGGAGACACGGAGTCAGCCATCCCTTAGCAGCTGGGTCGACACAGAGGAGCTCCAAGACAGTGGCCCGTGACGGTGAGAACTGTTCCTGTGCGGTCGGCAGCGGCTGAGGGTCTTCATGTTCTACCTGTGCCGAGTTCACTGGTGAGGACTTGCCTCTGTAACTCGAACATCTTTATTTCTCTAATAAGAACCAAACTGGAACTAAAAATCGTGCTCAGCTGCTCCCATTCCTTGCCTGATCAACCTCACCCTGCCCAGCAGGGAATCATGGTCACCGTTGCCACCTCCCTGATGGAGGAGGGGGCTCCGAAGGGAAAGGCAGGCAGGGCCGGCGAGCCGTGGAGCCACTTTATGGGGGCATAGAGCCAGCTCCGGAGGGCCGGTGAGCCAGAAGGAAGCTCTAGTTTGCCCCAAGGACATGCTGGAGTCTTCTGGGTTCCCATGCCTCGCCCGCTCTGGCTAGTTCATTCCACTCCCCCAGGAAGCCAGGTTTAGGAGGGTACGGTCCCCCACTGAGTGACAAAGGACTGAGTGAGATGCACTTAAGAGAACCCCAGATATTGTCCCAGGTGCTGAATTTACTCAGAAGAGGAAGAGAGTCTCGGCAGGCCCGCCATGTGTATCCCCCCCACCCCCCACCCCCACCCCCAAGTGTAAATGTAGCGGAAACTTCCAGACTTTGTCCTCAGCACCTAAGGCAGAGCTGGGAGCACAGGAGCCCCAAGCAGAATGTGTCAAATGCAGAATTCAGATACACACACAGTATACACACCCCTACTTAGAGACAAACATGCCCGATCACCAGCCGTTCAGTAAAGGCAAGCACACACAATACGCTTAAACGCACACCCACACTCATGCAGAGCACACACCGGTGCCCACATACCTACTTCTGAATCTAAAACAAAGAGAGCCCCAAACACCTGCAACTTTGGACACAGATGTTCTGGGCAACTGTACACTATCCAGTTGTCTACGAACCGTCTCTCGCGTGCACAGCAACCCTGCACCCGGGCTGGTCCCAGGAAGGACTCTGTGTATGCGACAGCCCCTAGCATGTTGGAGCTCGTCGGAACATTCTTAGCTGGCGAGTGGCTGGTCCCTGGCTTTGGGTCTCTGGGACAGGCAAGGAGACATGTCTCTGGCAGCCCCTCGTGGGTGGGCAGGCAGGCGGCGGGCGCAGAGGTCACGGGGGTGAGAGCCGGGCTGCCGCCCTGGCCTCCCTGCTTCTGGCTGGAATGTGAGCTGCTGGGCCACCTCCCAGGCCTGTCTCCTCCCCCACAGCCATCCACCAGCCCCAGGCTCAGCCAGCTTGCTGGGATCTTGCAGCCAGGGAACAAACCGCAGGGATGGGTGAGGTGATGGTAGTGAAGAAGCGAACAGACCAGGCACACGTGCACACAGATGAGCAGTCACGCACCGAAACCTGTCCAGATATGGGCACGCAGAGAAAGACACACATGAGCAGAGACAGAGGCAGCCAGACACAGAAATAAACACTCAGATCTACTTGCACACTGTCCAGGGACACACACAGAATCACACCCAGGTACGCAGCACACAGAGCTGCAGTTTGAGGTAAGCAGTGGGCACACACAGGCTGGGACACATAGCACACGTATCTTCAGCCACGTGGACCTGCACAGACACACACAGACCTCCCCACGCATTGATGCCCGCAGTTCCTCCAAGGCCAGGAGGAGAGGCAGGCTTGGCCACCCTGCTCCCCAGGGGGCAGACTGCTTCCCCAGATGGACCCCCAGCCAGGAGCCCCAGGCGTTTCCGTTGCCCGTGGGTGGTGCACAGCTGCCCAGCAATGCGGTCTAAGTGTCTGGCCCCAAGGCAGTGGGTCAGGTGTCGAGGGTTCTGGAGTTGCGTAGTAGCTCGGGTCTGTCTCTGCAGGTCCTCATACCCACATACCCTTCCCCAGGGTGTGCTCGTCTCTCTGCTGGGCACGTGCAGGCAGGAGCACCCTCTGAGACCCGGGGTCTTCATCCCTCCAGGGGCTAGCCATCCTAGGGGTCCGGTCTGCGGTCCCTGCCAGGCGGCTGAAGTCTCAGCTTGGACGGCTGGCCCCACCCGAGGTGGCGGTCGCATAACAGCCGGCACGCAGCTGGGGAGCCCCGGGTGGGCAGGCACGGGCAGTTCGGCAGGGTGTAGGGGCTACGTAGGCAGCGCCCCTTCCTCGCTCTGCACGGTGGAGCGCGCTGGGGGGCCCGCCGCCGTCCCAACCCCCGCCCCCTCTCCTCTCGGGCAGGGCTCTCAGCTCGGCTCTCGGCAGCTCCCGCGGCTGCGAGAACGGAGCCTCGGTGGGCGGGGCCGGCCTGGAGCCCCGCCCCGATGCACAGCCCAGAAACCCTGTCGCCGACAGCTTCAGAAGGGAGCTGCTGTCTGAGCAGGAAACTGCATCTTCAGACAACTGCCCGGCCGCCAGGAGGACCGGAGGACGCACGCGGCGCCCGACGGACCCTCCCGGGGACCCGCCTGTCCCGCCCCGCCGCGCGCCACCGGGCCACGCCGCGGCAGGTTCCCCAGCGCAGCCGTACCTGTGGGCTCCTGACTCCCCGGGGCGTCCAGAGGATGCTGAGGCCGGCGGCGGCCTCGGAGCAGCGTTGAGGGGCACGGCCTGCCCCCTCCCCGCGCCTCTGCTCCGGTGCAGGGCCGCCCCGGGGGACGAGCATGGTTGTTTCCCCCTGGAGCACCCTGGCTCTGGAAGTCTGAGCCGATGCCCACCATGAGGCTGTTCACTTGCTTCCTGCAGCTCCTGACCGGGCTGGCGCTGCCCGCCGTGCCCCCACAGGTAAGAACATCCCTCTTCCCAGCCTGGCCGGCCGGGTCTGCCCATCCCAACACTCCGGGCAGGGGGCTCCAAGGATGCCCGCAGGCTTCCACCTCTGGAGCTAGTCCCAGGTGGGCTGTCCCCAGCGTGGGGCTGGGGGCTGTCTTGGCAGGAGGGAGGGGAGGGAGAAGCTCCCTGTCTGGTTCCTGGAACCCTCACTGCTTTGCTAAAAGCATCTGTCCACTGATCCCAGCCAGGTCCCCGGCCTTGTGGTCAGGGTGGAGTCCCTGTGACCAGCCAGGCGTCCCCAGAACCTCTGACCTGGCCTGGTAGGGCGGAAGCTGGACCAAGAGGCTGGTGGTGGAGAGCCCAGGCCCTGCCCACCAGAGGGGCTCTCTACAGAGTTTGGGTGGAGGTGGGAGTTTGGGAGGTGGGCTGGCAGTGAGACAAGGGGTCCCACTCTGCCCTCCATCCCTAGCTGGGGGGCCAGAAGTCCTGCATGAGGGGCCTGGGGAAGTGAGCAGGACCCTTTTCCCAGGAGCCGGGTGAATCTGGCTGGTAGCCAGCTTGGGCATCGCAGTCCTGACAAAGCCAATGAGCTCCCTTCCCACTGCGCTACCCCGGGAGTCCCCAGCCAGAGCCCAGGGGTGGGCTGGACTGGCCAGTCCAGCCGCCTGCCTGCCTGCCTGCTGCAGGGCTGGCCAGAGGTGTAACGTTACCAGCAGCACCAGCTCCTGGCGCCACCGGCTCTGGCCCCTCAGCTCCCACCAGCTGATCACCGCCTCTGGGCTCTGGCACCCAGCCAAGGCGGGCTGTTCAGGGCCCGGCAGGGCTGGCCTGGGGGGCTGGGTAGAAAGGGAGACCCCACAGGATGGCAAAGGATGTCCTAAAGCTCCAGCCTCCCACCCTTCTCCCAGTGTGGGAAACTGAGGCCAGAGAGGGGCGGGACCCAGCGGAGCCCTGGAGAGAGGCTACTCTGGGAAAGGGCAGAGTACACCGCTCAGGGAGCTCCGAGGGGCCCCTCCCTGCCTCCACCACGTTTGTCCCGGAGCACAGAGCCCCTCGGCAGCCCCCTCTCACATCTGCACCTTTCTGTCCGCAGCAGTGGGCCCTGTCTGCTGGTAACGGCTCCTCAGAGATGGAAGGTAAGCCAGCCAGCTGGGGCTGTGGGCGCACCCGGTCCCCGCTTCTCTCCTCCCGAGAGGCCGGGAAGGGATGGGTGTGAAGGGTGGGTGCACGCTGATGATATGTTTGGGAGGGTCCATGAGCTGCACATCCTGGCTGCCGAGGCTGGCGGGCCTCAGAGACCCACCCACTCTGACCCAGAGGCCTGGAGAGGGGCATTCGTGGGCCAGGGTCACCGAGCACGCCGAGAGCCCGGCTGCGGCCAGGACAGCCCGGCATCATCCAGCTGGCTCGGAGCCTCTTCCCAGCATGATGTAAGGGTGCAGATGCGATCTTGGAGGGCTGCATGGATAGCGAGTGCCAGGGGCAGCCTGGGGGTCCGGGAGCTGGACACGGAGGGCACGCAGTCAAAGAGGGTGTGCGTGGGGGGCGGTGGGGACAGGCCCTCCCCAGCAGCCCAGCCCTGGCACAGTGGCAGGGATCGGACCAGGCTTCTCCAGTGATTACAAACAGAACACAAGTCGCGCCCTCCCCGGCCCCTCCACTCCCCGCCCTGGGTTGCATCAGGAGGGAATCTTCAAAGGGCAATGAGGAGACTCTGCCAAAGAGACATACGTGCAGGAGGCGGGAGGCCTGTGCCAGGCCCCCTGCCTCGCTCCTCCCTCCCTGCCTCTCTGAGACGTGCAGGGCAGCCACACACCACTGCCGAGGCTTCCCACGGAGCCGTGGGAGAGGGGCGTGTAGGGACGTGCACACGCACACGCGTGATAGCCGTCTGCGGGCTGGGAACACCCTCTGCTGGCCTGCCTGCTGCCTGCTGCCTCTCAGCCAGGCAGCCAGCCTCTTGTGGGCTGTGCCATGCCCGGGCACCTGGGACCCTTGGCCTCCGGGCAGATAGGGGAGGTAGCTGCCCTTGGTTTCACTGGTGGTGCTAGGGTTTGTGGAGGGACCCATCCCTCACCTCCACATAGTACCCTCTTTCGTGCTTTTAGTCTAATTCAGGCAATGTCTGCGCCTCAGTTTCTGTATCTGTAAAATGGGAACAGGAGATTACACGACAGCTAAAGTTCTTTCTTTTTCTAAGATTGCAGCATTCTCAAGTCCAAGGAGGAGGCA